CACACGCACGCACGCACTCACACACACACACACACTCGCACACACACTCTCACACACTCGCACGCTCAAACGCACACACTCGCACACACTCTCACACACACGCACACACACACACTCACACACACACACGCACGCACGCACACACACACACACAGATCAGGATTCCCTGCAGTTTGCATGGAAATATCATAGTGTATGTTAGTTCATGATTTCTAACTTCAGCCCTCTTAAGGAAATTCATGAACACTGACAGTAGTTTGATGAGAGCTGATAGGAGCTGCAGGAATGTGTGAGTCTGGTCATGTGACTGTACATCATTCCACTGTTATGTGCGTTCTCATCTCTCCAGTTCATATTTACTGACAGTTAGTGTTTCCTGAACACGGTGTGGTGATAACCTAGATCAGGGGATTGCAATAAATAAGTAAATGTTTAAAATAAAAAAAGGGTTAAAATAAATATTTTGATTAAAATAATTAATAAATAAACAAAAACGTGTTTTAAATAATAAAAAAATTTACAAATGCGTAAAATTTGATTACAATAAATGCATTTTGACTATAATGCTAAAAAATGCTTAAAAGAAGTAAATACAAAATTATTAAAATGGATTTTGATAGATGTGATTAAAATATGAATTGATTAAAATAAATCCATTTTGATGAAAATAAATCTGAAATAAATAAATAAGACCTTTTAATTAAAATGCATTAAATTAAGTAAAATAGGATTTAAATAAACTTGATTAAAAATAAATACACCTTGATTAAAAATCAATACTTAAAACGTTTTATCAAAATAAACAAAAAATTATTAAAATAAGTAAAGTTTAATCAAATTGATTAGTATAAATAAATTGCTAAAAATAAATAATTTGACATAATAAATGACATTTGACTGCAGACTTTGGTATCCAGACTAATAAGAGCACAGACGTCATTGAGATCTCTTCTGAAACCCTTGAGGAGACACATTTGACATCACTGGGGTCTTTTTCTCAGCAGAAACTTCTGAGGAGAAGGAGATTCGGCAGAAGTTTGATCTGTGTTTTTCTGAAATAACTGAGACATTCTTCATACAGCACAGGAATGAAAAATCACACATTAGAATAAGTCCAGTCATTGTTAAAAAACATCATCTTGATCAGAATAACTAGACCCATATCTAAATTATCTTTCATTTCAAAAGTTTTGGAAAAATAGTTTATTCTGAGATCTCATCTTACCTGAGTACATCTAATATTTTTGACTCATTTCAGTCTGGTTTTAGGGAATTTCATAGTACTGAATCTGCCTTGTTGAAGGTTACTAAAGATATTTTACTTTCTTTTGACTCTGGTTCTTGCTGTATCTTAATCATGCTTAATTTAAAGGGGTCATATGATGCGATTTCAAGTTTTCCTTTCTCTTTGGAGTGTTACAAGCTGATTGTGCATAGATAAGATCCCTGAAGTTACAAAGACTAAAGTCTCAAAACCAAATAGATATTCTTTATCAAAGTTAAGACTCTGCCACGCCCCCCTAAAACGGCTCATTCTAACACGCCCCCACATATCTACCACACTATATGGAAATATTTGCATAATGCCGCCCAAATGAGCACGCAAAGAAAGAAGGCGTGGTTTCAGTAACCGCAGTTAGTGTTGAAGCAGCCATGTCACGGAGACGCTGTGTGTTTCTAGGCGAAAGCAAAAGCACTTTATTTGGCCTTCCGAAAGTAGATGCATTTAGGAATCTTTAAGATTACTTACAACAGAACAGCAATGCATTTTATGGACGACCGTTTCATGAACCTAGGAGAGGAGGTAATTCTGACTTTGCTATGACAATCTGGCGCTTCTGAATCAGCTACTGTTTTGTTATTAGTTTAAGTATTTGCGATTGACTGTTCAAATGCGGAGTTTTGCGCATCGTGTATGTCTGTGTGTGTGTGTGTGTGCGTGCGTGCGCACGCGTGTGTGTGTGAGAGAGAGACAGGGACACATCACAGTGGAGTCAGC